AAGAAAGATTTTTGTTTAAAGAATAGTTTTTGTATTGCCAGTCGTGACAATATTGAATAACAGGATGCCGAAGTACAAGTGAAACATTTTAAGACGTGTTTTTAATAAAAGAATGTACCTTGCAAAACAAAATGTACAGTATCCTAATGAAACAGAATTTACACACTGTTTTACAAGCTGAAAGAAAAAATAGCGTATACGCTATACACATTGAAACTCCTTTTTAAACTTTGCTTTTTTTAAAGACTTTCGTATCTTTGTACTTAAAAGAAGTTTATCGATTGCACGTGATCAAGACTGCACAACATCACGTCCAATAGAATCATAGATCGGAATGTTCTCATATCTTTCATGCCCTTGTAAACGTGACTTACGTATATGACCTTTGCATCATCTGAGATGAATGTGGAGGGGTACTGAAATAATATTTCGAAAAGCTGAAAGAGATACAAGAAAAGAAAAACACTAGGAAAAGAATCCATCTTAAAGGATGTTATATCTCTTATCTTCGAATGACGACAGAACGGAGAAAAAGAATCCCCCTTCGCGTGGAATCGAACCATGCACCTCCTGCTTTCCGGGCAGACGTATTAACTACTTTATTAGAAAGGGTATCTCCTCTTCGTCTTACGATTGTATGGGAACAATACGATCGTAACAAAGGATCTCAGTTTTAGTTTATATCTGAAGATTTTGAATGACTACAGATTCCTAGTTCCTTGTTCATTTTTTTTTTCATAAAATCCATAACCACAACAAGGTACTGAATGATCCATATCAAATACACGAATTTTCATTGTTTTTCGAAATGGCAATAAATCATCATGTTGAACACCTATTAGTTCACAATTAGGTGTCCATTGTTTGGGATCTGGATCAATTCTACCAGCNTTTCGTTTTTTTTTTTTCATAATATCAATGTCTGTCTTATGATGAATTTTAGATAAACACAACGCAAGCGGCATAAGGGTGGGTCGCGGAAAGTATAGTTCTGATTTGGATCTTTTCTACGCTCACAGCCACACTTTGAAATTTTTGTGTGCTCATTATAATGAAAACTGAAATAAGTGTTCTTCTAACAGAAGTTATCTTCTTTGGCTAGCCATCAGTTTTGCACCTCTTGTACATTTTTTTACACCTTGGTGTACAAAACAGGGTGTACTAATACATGATGTTCTGAAAAACATAGTGTACCTGTACATTCTATTTCAGATTCTCGTTGAAAACATTGATTTTAAGAAAAATCAAAGAATTTCAAGTGATATTAAATTCATATTTTATAAATTTTAACTGAAAAAAAAAACGAAAATTTTTGTCTGAAATGGAAAGCATTCAGAAGTGTCATGATTAAAAATTTTAGCTGAATTTAATTTAAAAAACAAAATGTTTCTTTTTCTCTCTCATATCTCTCTTTCTAAGTAAAGCACAGATATATTAGAATCAATAAAAAAAATACATATTATAATTTCCTCTATGATGAATTGGGTTATAACATAAGTTCTGAGAATTGTTTTTGATTTTTAAGTAAATTTGAGGCTTTATATCTCATGACTGAATGTAGATAAAAGTCTGAAATTTTTATTGTAGATAAATCTTTATAACTTCTATCTACAATGAAAATTTCAGATCTTTATCTGTATCCAATCACGAGATATAAAGCCTCGAATTTACCTAAAAGCGAAAAAAAATTCTAAGAACTTATGTTACAACCTAATAATTATTTTTGATAAAGAAATTCTTTTTTTTTTTCAATCTGATACTTTACTTTTAAAGCTCATGATTTTGATGGTATCGTATCAAGTAATCATATACTATAACTAAAACAGATTTTCAAATGATTCTATTCATTCTATTTATTCATTTATTTTTTTTGTATTAATTCGTTCTTTAACAAATTCATGATGAGATTAAATGCATATCAAATTGACAGGATGTAAAAACGATAATAATTTTCACAAGTTTTATATGATTTGATTTAGTAATCTAGAATATTTTATTTCATATGTTCTTTTTTAGTTTAATCTTTATTCTCAATTGTATTCGATTTAATTGATAAAGGAGCATTCATTAAAGACGGTCAGCTACAAGTCTCTTTTTTTCACTTCTTATGCTTCCTTAGTCCGCACTTTTTCAGTGTTGATGTCCTTTTTAAGGAAGAGCTTAGTCGTTCAACTGCATCGTATTTTTTCTGTCTAGATCAAACATTTCCCTATTGAACCTTATCAAATCCTAATAATTCCAATCAGATCTTGTCAAAATCATTTTTACTAGATTTCAATGCTTTTGGACAGCCAGATTTTGATAAAAAATGAGTCATCTGATCGCTCCAGATCCTATTCGATCCGACATGTTTTTCGAAAGTCTCTGATCGAGTTCGATGTGATGAGTACATATCCAATCAAAAGGCAAAACATAAATTTTACGGTTCGTACACTTTATTCATTCATTGACAAATGAGACAGCATAGAATTCGTACATGATGTACTTTACAACCTATGCTTGAACTTACTAAACATCAACATTTCGTGAAAATTCGTAACAAGTGTCCGAGAGTTCACGTTGGTTTGGATTCGTCCTCCCAAGTATCTCCAAAGAGATTAATTCAAGTTGTTTTTTTATAGAATGATCATTTGATAATAACAGTACCAAACTGAACTAGACTTACAAAATATTATTAATAATAAAGAATTTTACTTTATACGATCGAGTCCATGTGGGATAATTTATCAAATCAGCTTGTAATTTTTCTGACTTAAATCTATATCTCACCAACAGTTATTTCAAGTAAATCATCCGATTGAATTCTCAAATTTGTATAATTATCCGCTGCGACATCTTAGGCGAGCGGAATTTGGTTTTATATCTCTTCTTTGCACAAAATTCAATTTCATTCTTTTATGTTTTAACGGCAAAACCAATTTTACTGAAATATATAATTAAAGTGAAACGACCAGGTTTCTTTCGCTATCATTTTCGTTATCAGTTCTATACTAGAACTTATGAATTGCCTTATTTAAGAAAATGTTCACTCAATCTCATACACTTATCTATGATATTGAGATCAATTTAATAATAATTGTGATGTAGAACTACTTATTTGAATTTGTTTTAGTATCATCGTCAATTTCTTGTAAGTCTTCTGGGAATTATCCGTTCCGTTTCAATAATTTAATTTTTCCTGATATTTCTTCTTTGTTTTTTAAAGTATTATTTGCAAAAAGTAATTTAACGTTGTTTTCCAGGTTGACTTCAAGTAAGTCTTTCATAGGTAAGAATCTCTTGGTGACAAATTAATGCAGCATTGTTGCTAGAACTGGAATCGATTGAAACTGTGTCAATAAACAGAGCAACATCATTATGGCATTGCACTAGAAAAACCTATGAAGTATTATTCAATATATGATTAAATCTAAAACGTTCCGTGTACAAAATTCGATGGTCACTTAAGACGTTCTATAAGTGTTCAATTAGGCGGAAGGAACGAATACGGCAGAAGAGAACGCCAATACATATATATCCACACCGGCATCCATATCTATACCCTCATCACTTTTGGTGAAATTTTATGGCACTAGACGTAATATTAATGATTTTCACTATTATAGTAGTTGGTTTTACATCAAATACGTAGCGAATTCGAATTTTTTATTCCTAGTTTTCCATGGTTAAACTTCATCCAATGTATAATAAGACGAGTAATTGATTCAGTATAATGATCGTTGCTTTCCTTTCGTTCCTCGACTTTATATTCGAGATAACTATGATATCTGAATCTATTATTGTCTTCATTTCTCCATCCTTTTTGTTTTTATTTTAAACATGGTCTTAACCATTTTGTTGTTTTCGAGTAACAAAATATTTTTTTGTCTCGATAAGTATTCATCGTTTTGAGTATATCCTTATTGATTTATTATAAGTCTAACGAATACTTTGATCTTTCATAAAATCTTGTAATGAGAACAATGTCACTTTGATGGCACACTGACTGATTTGGCATCTCAATCAAGAACCTTATTGTGGAGTTGGTAAATATTTATAGAGTAGAAAGCTTAAACTTTTGTTCTTTTGAGACTATTGTCTGATAAAACCACGGATACGCCATCACCTTTCAGAACATATTATCAATAGGAGTCTGATGTTAATTCTCAATTGGCCAGAAGACACATTATGATTCTTGATAGAATGAATGCCAATAAAATAGAAAACAATGCAAAACATACTAACTGTATGCTTGTTCTTCGATGCCCTTCGCTTATCCAAACAACTAGCTCTCTCTCCGTATATATAATATTCTCGAAATCAAAACATCCTGGAACTGGATGCAACTATGATAGAAATGACTCATTTTCATCTTAAAAAAGACAGTATATAGAATTCCTTGTATAATAGATTTGTTAAGGTTACTTTTCGTTTTTAAGACAATATGTTTTTTTTTCGTAGAATCTTAGGTTTCATCATGAAAATTCGGTGAGAAAACCGTTCACACGAAACTGCTGATTTCTGTCATGGCGCTCTGATAGGAGCTCTTTTTCAATCAAATGGTTTTTGAGAATTCTCTGAAGTATCTGAAACTGTTGAATAAACCTTGTTTTGTGATTGAATGCATTAATTTTCAACAAATTACTGAAGAGAATGCATTGTTTTTTGCAATCAGCACATGGAACCAGACAGTAAGAGACAATACTTATTAATTGTTAACAACTGCTGTTAGACAAATTATTTTTGATTTGTTTGATTCAGATTGCAGGCGAAAAGATGTATCTAAAATTTCAAATAAACATATATTATGGAATTGATGTAACAACCAAGCAATTATCTTGAATATTTTGTACCTATGTAATAGGAAATAATGTGAAGTTCTAAACAATTGAGCGAGAAATTTCTGATGCTAAACTCAAATTTTGAATTCAGACGTTTTCATTTATTTTTATTTTTTTACAAAAACGATACAACCGCTATCAAGATTCATCCCTATACAAATCACTCTGCAAAAGACAAAATCACCATTTGAAAAGCTTAGATAAAAATGAAAACTTGTTGTTCGATTGATTCGGTGTTTTGCGTACTCTCATGGGAAACCTGATTTGAATATGTTCAATGCCAGATTTGCTCATTGAAAGACCTCGCTCACTCTCAACTCGTTTCATAAAATGATTCAATGTTTCACCATTCGATTCTACTTGGAGTGGTTCAGAGTTTGGTTGATTGGTCATCGTAACAGATGCTCCACCCGGTAGTAGTTTAAGATTGCTATTCTTCTCTGTGTATTGATCATTATCATTCGAATTCTGCAACCTGGCACAATCACAATTCAATCTCGTTTTCGATAGATCATGTTCATTTTCAACATGATTCATAAGATCATTTGAAAATTCTTCGCCATATTGAACTTGAAGTGGTACGGAATTCGACAGAGTATCGATGCAAATTGCATCTTTACCAGACATAAGAACAAGATCGCCATTGGATTTCAATAATGTATCTATTTGAGTCTTAGTACACACTTCTTGCCAGACAGTTAGTCGTGCTTGATGCGGTATGCGAGGGTAGACAACGCGATGAATACCACACTTGAATTGATTTCCCGTCATAATACTCGCTGCTTCACCTAACCAGATCACTCCAATAGAACGCTGTCCATCTTCACAATCATTTGGTCCATCAACCCATTGATCTTGCCGGAGATCGTTCAGTTGAAGACCATCACATGTGGATAGAATACTCAATGAGAAAAGGCCAGGATCAAAATGTGGAACACAATTAACTTCATCAGTATTAAAGCCAACTTTGGGCTGTGGCACAGGTCCAGGTCGTGTATTGAAATAATTCACGATGTCAAGCATGCTTAACGATGACAATTGAACTTTATCCTTATGAGGATTTTGTGCGAGGACAGGCATATTGAAAATGACAGACTTGAGAATATCACTCAAGTTGTTTAATAACATCGCCAAATCTTGTAATATTTGCTCTACGTCGCTTGTCAAAGGTTGATGGTGCTTTCCGAGACCTTGTTCATCTGTTAACACTTTAATGCCTTCTTTGTGGCTAACATGTGAATAACCAAAGGCATGGGATGATTCATATTGTAATTTCTCATCTGGCTGTTGGGCAAAAAAAGCTGACAGAGTTGTTTTAACGTGATTGAGTTTATCAATTAGCGCACCGTTTTTATTCGGCAACTGAATGAAACACCAACCAGTTGATTCGAGTTCATTTTGCAATCGTTGAATTTCGCTTGAATCGCCAATAAAGAGTTTGTCGAAATCAATCAGAACATGACCGTTAAAACTCTGCTCGGTCGTCATAGAAGTGGTGGAGAAAAGTGTCGATGTGGCATACAGAAGAAAAATGTGTGGCTTCTCATAGCGACAACGTCATGCGTCTGTAGTGAGTTATTGCTCAATAAACAGAAATGATGAGTCATACGTCCAACTTAACTACTGCGTATTGGTTCTGTGTCTACATATGATATTTCAATTCTTTTTCTTTCATCATCATACTAGATCTATGCGGTTGATATGGCAATAAGAGATGGTCTTTTTTTTACTAGAAACTGACGACGAATACACATCGATGCATGTCTTTGTATATTACTGCAAACATTTCAGTTATCCGACAAAGCTTAGATTATATTTGTCAAATAATCTAACTATCTACTCATCTTTACTCGTAGAAGAAGAAGCACCTGCTGCAAGGACACCAATCTAAGATAGGCAGTTTTAATGGGAAAATGCGTAACTGCCAGATGTGTACATATTGTTGACCGCTTTATATATTCGAGCGGTATAAGTCATCTGAGAAAGTTAGCATGTAAGGAGACATTCTGCAATCTGAAATATTATGCTTTTCCTCCTACGTATCTATTGTCAATCTTTTGAATACAGTACAACCACGCTTGTGCAAACGCTGCTTCCACTAATGGAAGCGGATTTACCATAAAAAACGGTCATTCATCTAAAAGTATAGTCAGGCACTTTATGATGGAATGTAAGTGCATTACTATATTAAATATCTTTGCATAAACGTGTATGAAATCAGTCAGAATCATCTCGGAGTATGAATAGTTCATTATAATGTGTGTGTAGTAGAATACTGGTATGTGATGAACAGGAGTAACAAGAGTTTTGCCATTACGATTATTCAATACATAAAAATGGAATGAGACGATCTAGACAAAGCAACTCTTTAAATAAATTATTGCTTATACAAAGAGACATCAATGGGAAAAGAAAAGATCTTAACCATCCTTTTTGCATGACCATCCTTCAACATTTTCTCTGTTCCATTCGAGATATCATCACATTAAGTCACATTTTTTACATGTTAAACAAAATGCTTGACCATTTCATTTTTTGGATCTTTTTTTTTCAGATTTATTTCCTAATATAGATAACAATTGTATCATCCAAAAGAAGGCTGAACCCGGACAGATACCATATTCTACGTACGAAAAATTAGCGATAAGTTTCAGTTTTTTCTGCTGATATTCGTTCCTGGACTTGGATTGAGTTACTTCTTGTTTGGGTTAGATACAGAGTTCAATTCTGCATTGATTGTTTATATTTTGAGGGGATGTCATCGAACAAAAAGCGGGGTTTAGGCTGAAATACGCAGTTTTCCTATCATCTTCATGATACTTGGATTGATTATGTTGTCGTCATTGCTGCAATGCATTCAAAGAAACTGTTTGCAGTAGTTTTATTTTTGGGATTGTGCTTACATACTATCTTCAAGATATGCTTTGGCTGAATTAAGGTAGGTTAGCCATTTTCAGAAACATATAAAAACATACGAACATGCAGAAGAGCTATTTATGGAAAATATCGTGACTGATGATTTGTCGTTGCCTTGATCGTAATTTTTTGGTGGTTGAATGTAGCATCTTTTTAAATATTCTTGTTGTAGTAGTCATTATATCTCATAATCCCGATTGATCGCGTTGCCATTAGTAGTACTGTGCGAATGGTAAAAGTTAACCTTCCCTCACAGAATACCGCTGATATCGATTAATATGTATCTATTTACGATGAGCGCTCATGACGTTTAAAATTGCCATGCGCCGGTCCTATAGAAAAGCAAAGCTTATTTTATAAGAAAAAAGCAGACAGTTGTATAAAGAAGTTATCATCTTTTATTGTCAGTGTGGATAAGACAGCTCGTGATAGCCTGTTACCGTAATTTTCTCCATTCTGTAAAAAGGATATATAGAAAACAGTACAAAGTTTTTGATATTTCAATTATAATGTTTCGTACACGCAAACGAACTCATGAGCAAAGCATACTTGCATTGATATTACACGATAATAGCAGAAAAATTATTTATCAAATTGTTTTGACGTGATGCACCAAACAGTTCAAGTATGTTGCAAACATTTTCAAAGAAATATACGCACAGCTATAAGAATAATAGCTGATTTGCGTATGCAAAAGGTTGTTTTCGCAACTATTTCTCGCGCATACAGAAAATTGTATTTGGTGTGCCACATGAAACAGTAGGATATCTTAGTTCAGGATTCGAATATTTCTTGACAGGATTCGCTCAGGTACGGGACCAAGATAGAGCTCGACAAGCTTTCGGTGACACATACAGAATTTTTTCTAATCGACTGTATCCTCATAGAGGAAATCTGGAAATACCACTAAAACACATGCGAAAAAATCGTATTATTTCAGAAAAACCTGTCGTAATTCACCCAGTCAGGGCGCCAAAAGACGAAAGCGATGGACTAAGATAGAACTCAACAAGCACTATCCAATTGACACCTTGGGAGTTCGATTCGATGCTCCGGTCATCGACTAAATGGCCATAAAATCCCAGAATCCCAGGTTTTTTGAAAAACCTTCGTGATTCGCCCAGCCTGGGAATCAAAAGACGAAAGCAATGGACCAAGAGAGAATTCGATGATCTCTATCGAATGAACACCTTTTCAACTCGATTTCATGCTCAGATTTGTGAAAAACTGGCGAATTTGGGTCCCGATAAAGCGCATCTCAATGTATGCCATCGTGATTCACTCACAAAGGGAACCAAAAGACCAATTTAACGGACTAGGAGAGACGTTGACGCACTCTATCAAATGCATACCTTAGAAATTTTATTTTCTCTTGCATTCACCTCGAAAACGCTCTAAATTCGAAGGTTTTCGGCTAAAACTCACCACGATTCGCACGTCACCTTTTCCCTACAAGACAGATAGTTTTTCCACATAGGTTTTGACGAAGTGGTTGCAGCTGATATATATTTTTAGATTGATTCACTAAGCGATCTATCTGAAACAGCTTTATGTGTTTGATTTCCGTGTTCACTGCATAGAATTCGTCGTAAGTTTCGCGTTTGTGCTTTTCAAGAAGGTGAAAAACCAGAGGTCTTCAATTCTGTAGTGTTTTTTTGTTAAAAGCCTAGTTATATTCCTTTGTTTTCACTTTTTGGAGAAAATTATTGATGCCTTCAAAGCAGCGACAGTTCGAGCCGATCAATATTGGGGGGACGGGGTGTAACGAATTTTTATGGAAAAGAAGATGGAGTTTTGCAAATTTTTGCGGGGGTTTAACATTATTTTTTTAACAATGCGCAAGAAAATTTTCGATTTCACATGAAGAAAAACGAAAGTTTTTTGATAATTAGGTGGGGGTCACACCGCCGACACTGCCCCCCCCCCCCAGGTCGACCCATCGGTGCTTCGTAGTCTTGTCGGCTACAAATATATTCTAATGAGGAATGACCATATTTACTTTTGATAGAGGTACATATTCCTGGTAGTCTGAATTGCAAGCGATCATATGTATGGTGCGCGGAATGAATCAGGAAAACTTATATTCAATATTCGCATGTACAGAAGCGATAAATAAATTATCGCACATGAACGTCGATATGAACGAATAGAAAATAACTGGACAATTCCGTAGAGACAGATAAAAACGACGTTTCCTTGCCACATGAGAAGGACGGAAAAAAGGATCTATCCGTCCGTTGTGTATATTAATAGAAGAGGAAAAAATTTCATTGGAGAATCTGCTTGAGAGGAAAGAAAAATAATTTATCGCGGAATTGCCGGTGAGGATACAAAAAAAAATCATCATTCGTTCACCAAAATTGGATCGGAAGAGAAAATATAGCGCTTTACATTCATACACAAGCAACGGTAAGAAAAAGCGCACGAAACATATTTATGAACATCAAGCCAAAACAACATGATCGTAAGCTTTTTTCAACTACTGTGCGGCATAGCACGATGTGGAGTAGTGTCATATATCCAAGATTTTGGAGATGCCACCGCATCTCCAGCGGGAGACGCGGCACCCACACTCGGTAGATGAGGTCATTCACCACTGGAGATGTAAGATCTCCTTTAGAGAGACGCATCCCCCACATCCACACTCGCATCTCTCGCGCAAGATGCGGCATCTCCCGCAGGAGATGTGATGGCATCTCCAAAATCTTGGATATGTGACACTGCTGGTCCTGCCAGAGCGAATCCTTTCAAGAAATACTGGAATCCTGCTTGACCTAAGGTATCCTACGTGATACTTTTCACGAGATCAAACCGAGAAAAGAATATGTCCACTTTGAACAAAAAAATATCGAAAACTGATGGAACAAAAATAACGATAAGAATAAGAATGATTATAAATCATCAATGAAAAATTTATTGTTTTGGTTTTTGCATCTATTTTGTTATCTAAATAAATATTGTTAGCGTAAGATGATTTATTTTTATTTTGTTGATGTTACATTCTTTTTTATTTAAACAAATGGACTATTGTATATCTCGGGTTTTTTTGCTGGATCAAGACCATGTAAATGCATGGTAACAGCAATTTCAAAAAGATAATCATAACATTCACACATTGTTTTTGCTTTTTGCCATGTATCACCCCAAACATAGACACCATGTCGTCGAACAAGTACAGCACATGTATCTGGATATTTTTCCATTGCTTTACGTAATGAACTAGTTAAATCTTTTTCTTCACATGTATTTTCAATAATTGGTACAACCAATGTATCATCATATCGATAATATTCTTTTTCTGTAGAACCTTTTTTAATACCTTTTAACATTTCTTGATGTGTTATACGAAATTCATGTTGACCATTACATAATAATGTAACCATAACAGCTGCACGAGAATGTGTATGAATACAAGCACCAGCATTACGAAGTTCAAATGCAGCATAAAATAATGGTGTACATTGACTACGTGTAAGGCGAAGATCTTTCGATGGTTCTTTAACAGTATCACCAGAAAATGTTTGAACAAATAAATGTTCTGGTTGAATACGTTCTTTTTGTACACCACTCGGAGCTAAATAAATTAAGTCTTTGTATTTTAATGATATACCTCCACCGGTGCCTTAAGAATAAAAAAATATTATTTTTCAATATAATGAAACTTTTATTCAACAACCTGTAACCCATCCAAGTTGATAGAATAATCGACACAATTCCGGAATTAATTTTTTTGGATGTTCAGCAGATAGTTTTGAACAATCTTCATCTTCGTCATACTTCGCTAATTCACCATTATTAGTCATTATCTAAAATAAAAATAGTTTTTAAATAATTCTCTCAAGTTTTGCATAGTTGTTAAGTATTTATTCATTGCACTTTTAAAAAAATGACATATTATTCAAATCTTTTTTTGAACTTCAATCATTCATCGATTTATACATGATTGATGTTTAATATTCAATATATCATAGAATCTACTTGAATTCTTAACTCGTTCACATACTTAATCATTCCTAAATATAGTTAATCATTACTAAAATCTTCATTAAATCATTCATTAATTGTTTGCTTTAGTTTCATTCGATTTTTTGAAGAATCACAAAATGTTCAATATTATTAATCATCTAAACATCATTGTTCTTTTGATCTACATGGTTTCAAAAAAATAAAATCACAATACTTTTCCGACATAAATCAAGATAACATCCATATAAGTGAAATACATGATTTGAAGAAATGTTTTCATCAAAGAATTAATTACTATATAAATAGTTTCAGTATTATAGCACGACTATTTCCTACTTAGTTACAGAATTCATTGGATAAAACTTCTTTCAGCAATTGTTTACTTTCCTATTGATAAACTAATCGGAATCCATCATTAGATTATAAAATAGGAGTAAAACTAGTTTCAGTTTTGTGTGCCATTTTCAATAATTGCCATTGTCAAACATATAGTCGGTGTTTAGGATAGACGTTGATATAAAGATTCTAATCAAAAACATTAGTCACTCATGTGAATATAAAATTTTAAAAAAAGTAGTTATAACTATGTACACATTTCAAAAGTAATGAATAAGATAAATATGATCTAGGTATGTCGAATGACTTCTCGAAGAAAAAACATGAATACAATCCTTAATGTTGATAATGATGACAAGTATCTTCTATTTGATGGCAATCATAGAATAGAATCATTCATGACTTTGAATAGCTGTTTAATGAAATTTGTTCTATTTGAAACCAGTAATAATCATCAGGAACGTCTTAGTCAATAGGGTACTATGAAATGATCAAATATCTCTTTTTTAGTATTTTTATAGGGTAGATTTACTATGAAAGTCATATGTTTAGTGTTTTATCCAGATTTTCTCTTACGGAGTGGCAATTTAAAATTCTGGAAAAGTGAACAGCCGGTTGTTGTTTTTTTTTTTGGAAGCATAGACACGTAGTATCTGTACAGAGGGGCACCGTCTCTCGACCTTGTATCTTTATGATGGAAATCGACAATTACAGATTATCGATTTACCACTGAAACCTAAAGATAGTAATGACCCCGATTCTAAAAGTAAATATTTTCTTACATACTCAATGCACATTTTTATAAATAATCAATATAATCATCACTTTAAAAAAATAATTATTAATTCGTGCAAAGTTCATTGATATCTTGACAGTTAAATGAAGAAACACATGTAAAAGAATCTTATATTGAAGTATTCTTTCAAATATTTTAGTAACGAATAATGGCCCAATAACATTCATTTCATAAACACCATTCAACGAAGTTTCAACGCGATTCGATTAATTCCCTTCAATATATAATAAAAATCTGGAAGATATACATTAGTTTTTTTTTCTATAAATAAATATGAGCACATTTAATAAACATATTAAGTCGTTGTTGATGTTTGAACTCATTTAAATATGACTGAACTTGTCAATTAAATGTATTGCATTGATATTGATCCATTTGTTAACATGTTGCAATTAACGTATATAACTGATTTATATTTCAATAATTATCGAATTAATTTTAACTCATTGACTCTTAGCGCATCTGGTATCAATACTGTTGTTTTTGTTTTTTTTCTTGAATCTAAAATATAGTACAACTGGTTATCCTAGGATAATACAATTCGAACAAGGAATTTTTTGGTTTTATAATTGTCTTTTGAATCAATCAAAATAACTGATGAGAAAAATATTAATCGATAATTGATCAATTAAACCCAAAATAACGAAAAAATGTCATTTGAAATACGATTGAGTTTCAGTCAAAACCATATAGAAAGATTTTATTGTTTGAAATGTAGAAAATCTCGTTCTTTAATTAATATGACATATCTGTCGACTGGTAGATCAAAGCGAAAGCAAGCACTAATCTCATTGGTCCAAGATAACCATTAACAAAACTTTTAAACCTCCTTGAAGAACCTTTCTATATAATATTATTTGCAGATAAATGAAACGAGTTAAATCTTTCTTATAAAGAATATTTTTAAAAAAATGAAAATTTTCATAAAATAACATTTGATTGGCGTATCCTAAGTCAGATAGATAAATTGAAACAAAGACAACAGAGATATTTCGTCGAATTGATTAGCTATTTTCATTGATTTTTTTTCTTCTATCACTATAAACAGTATAATTTTTAATTTTAGATAGATATATATATATATTTTTTTTCGTTTAATATTTCCAATGGGTAGACATCGTTCACGTTCAGATTCACATTCACGTTCTCGATCAATGTCTTCGAGTTCGTCGTAAGTTAAATTAATTTTTTTTGTCAAGAACAGTTTATTTGGTATGAATATGTTTTATTTATTAATGAAGTGGCCGTGGTGCACATTCATCAAATTGGAACGGTGATTCAGGTTATCGTGTTCATATATCAGATTTAGCAGCTGGTGTTTCACGTAAAGAAGTTGAAAGAGTATTTACAAAATATGGAACTATTAATGAAGTTTGTTCATTGTCTTATTATCATTTACTCATAATGAAGATTATATCTAGGTATGGGTAGCAACAAATCCACCTTGTTTTGCTTTTGTTAATTTTAAACATCGATCGGATGCTGATAAAGCTATACGAGAAGTTGATGGAAAGTAAGATAAAAATATTTATTTAATAATTTATAAGAAATATTTTATTAGAATAATTGGTTCTACACGTGTTGGTGTAAGTTGGGCACGTACTCGTACTTATGGTGGTCGAAATCGTGGAGGTCGTGGCTATTCATATGGTTCATATCGATATAATGGTAATCGTCGTCGATCAAGGTAAAGTTGATTATTTTAAGATTTTGATATTCGCGAAACCCATGATGATGATGTTTTTTGTTTTCTTCATGTCGATGCTGAAAGGCATAGTTAATATTGAATTTTATTTCGTTAGAATAATTAATAATGTCCACTTAATTTTGATTCTAGTAGCTTCGCGGGTTTTCGAATGGTTTTTGATGATGATTTGTTGGTTTTTTTATTCTAACGACTTGTATGTAGTCGGGCCAGATAAGACGATTGGTTATTTGTTTTTTTCCTTTGGTTAAAAAATTACAGAATAAAAAAGTGTTTATATTTGTTTGGATCTTCTCGGCTTTTGGGCAAATCGTGCTCGGCCAAAACGGATATCGATGGAAAGTTGTGATTTATTGATTATTTGTTAATTAATATTCCGTATTTTATTCAATTAAATAGAAGTCGTTCAAGAAGTGGTTCACGTCATCGACGACGTCGATCAAGATCACGATCAAGCTCACGAGGTAATTTTTCATTTCGATTTGCTTGTTTTACGTTTATAACTTTTGTTTTAGATCGTTCTCATCGTCGTAGTGTATCGCCACGTGATCGTAAACGTGCTCATCATTCAAATGATCGACAAGACTCTAAATCACCTCGATCAGTTTCACGTTCTCGATCACGATCACATTCATCACCAACACAAAAACCACCTGGTGATGCTAATGGGTAAGAGAAAACATTTAACAAATTATTCTTTAAATGTACACGAACAAGAATGTCAATTTTCGAACTGTAGTTTTGATACAATGACTAAAGTTTACAGGCATTCAGTGAAATAATTATGTTTTTTTTTTCTGGATAATGAGTGATAACTTTTTTTAGACGAAGTCGATCCCGTAGTTCAAGTGTTGATGATCGTCATGATAACAGAGAAGCTGGTTCATCATTAGTTGCTGGAGTTGATGGAAAGAATACTTATGAGTAAGTAAAAAGGTGACTAGAATTTTTTTTTGACCGCATAGCAGAATATATGTAGATTTGTAGAGAAAGATTTCTTCTACAAGTCAACATATATATATATATATTGTTCTGTGGTCGAAAATGACTGTGAAACTCGTAATCGTCTTTAGTTTATTTATTTTTTCTTCAGTCGATCACCAATTGCTGCCGGTGGAGATTAAAAATGATCATTAATCAAAAGACGTTTGATATCTATTTGTCTTAAATAGTCATATGTTCTAAATTTTTTTGTCTTCATGTATCTTTGTCTTTAACTTCTATTGATGTATTCTTTTTTTTGAACTAAAAATAAAAAGTATCGTATGATGGTAAAGATATTCTAATTGGCATAGTCATTGTAAATCTGTGCAAATTTCGAATGTGATAAACTCCTATGAAGAAATCAAACAATTGTATACATCAAATTGTATTATCTAAAGACAGTTTATGAAATGTTTTTCGAATGTTTCTGATTGATTGCTTGGATTGAAAAGACCAATGTAGATGATGAACGTTTTAATTCTTATTTTAAATATAACAATTAGATATTAATGTTTTATTTTCAAGACGAAGATAAAGTATCATAGAAACATTGACGATTGAAAGTTGAAACTTGAATTCAACTTTGAAGTTTGACACAATTATCATATTTGATATAGTTTTTCTCGAAGTCAGTTTTTGTATTAATAAATACCCAGGCGAGCAAAAAATAATAGAAGACGCCCAACAAGACTAACCTCGAATGTCGTGTAACCAAATATACATTGGTCCAGACTGTGTCCACCACATTTTATGACTAGTCCATTTTGTGCATTCATACTGTCCTAACTTGTCAGTAAAACAAAAAGTCCAGAAAGATAGATCACGACAGGTGGATTCGAACATTGAATTCCATAGTATTGAATGGCTGACTAGTCTGGACTATTTTCAAAAATGATATTGATTAGTGTAAAACGTCATCTTTATTGTCCATGACTAATTTGTTTCGTGAAGTTAGTACTGTCCTTGATCCAACATAGTCTAAATCCTTCAAACAGTTCATTTTACTTTGATCTTACTTTCCAGACAACTTCTTTAGACTGGTTGATAGTAAAACTTGAAAATTGTGTAATATTGTGCAGGAATTTTTTAAGGATTTTAATTATTTCTTATAATATCTAATTTGGAATTAGATGTTTTTATAATATAAAACACATGATAAAGTATTAATCATCTTATTTTCATTTTCAATAGAAAGAGCTTCTCAAAAACAAACAGTTACGACAAGAGTTGATTCAAGGTTTGATAATATGCAAGTTAGCAATTTCTATCAATCGATATAAAAAAATAGGCATCGAGTAACTTCATGGAATAAAAATGTTATACTTTTTATACTAAAGCTACAAATGTATGTTGAAACACAAAACAATTGATAAAATAACGAAGCAGTTGTTAACGTCTTAATGATAGTTGCCTATTTATGTACTTTAAAATCTCTAGATTGTAAAAAGTAGAACTAATTTTATTTGAGGAATAATTTTAGTATCTTTATATGAGAACTATATTTTATTGTAAGTATCAATTTGAACAGTCTGAATTTACAAGTGGATTACAATTATAACATTCTAGTTGATTATCAAGTTGAAACTGGAAGAATTTAAATTAAACTAATCATAAATCATCAGATGAAAGCAATATTTTTTTTTTGTTTAGATTTGTTGTATTTTTCTCAATTATAATTGTTTTTTCAATATAACATAATATTTCCTAAATTTCGCTGATGAAAACAAAATCTGGAAGAGATAAAAAAAATTCTAAATTAATTTTATTCAGACTTATTTAAATATTAAATTATAATGAATTTTATGATAAATAGTTTTTATTGATATTAAAACTTGAAAAATTTGAGCAATGTTAAATATTATCTTAGAATGGTATTGATATATTAGAGTTGATCACTTGATCATATATGGTTCAATGGATTAAAGGATTGGTAAGTTATACACTATATGATTGTTCGAATCTAACCCTCCACCTAATATCTCTGTTATTTAGACAAGTCCGATCTACATCACTACATAAGACTGCAATCTGCTATATGCAGCGTCGCGGATGCTCTTCCTTTTTCAATTTGAAGTCTATTTTGGACTGGTGCCCTGACAGTGCGACATATCTAGTCTTCTTTTCAAAACCGACTTAACATAACAGATATAATGACGTCAGTCACTTACGTAGTCAAGACGGGAACCAAAGACTGCAAACGATTTCGGACTAGTTATATGGGAGACGTTTATGAGAAAAAGACTAGACGTAATATACAGTGATGGCTAGAAAAACGACTAACCTTTTTACTCGTTATTTGCTCGTCTGGGTTGTCGAGTTCAAAAAAATTATTTTTCAATACAGCTTGATCTAGTAAACTGTGAATTTCTTCATTCAATAGATAGATGCATCCTCTTTCGGGTGAACGGAAGGATTTTTGTATTTGACCTTCAATATCAAAGTAATGATAAGTTTTCTAAAAATCCTTGTCTAAGGTCTTTGTAGTGTTTTAGGACTCTGAAAATGAAATAAAATAAGAATTACGAGTAGTCCGACTGTTACAGTTTGTGAAAGTCCTATTTTTCATCTGGACATTTGTAAGTTTGTTGAACGATATGGTAGGAGTCATGTAGTTTTTTTTCTTGGTGTACTGTCTTTAGTCAAATATCTACAAAAAATTTTATGGAAATCTTAGGCATTATAATGTAAATCAATTTTGGATGAAGCGTAGGAGAAAGCGACCATAATCAATAATAATCATTTTAGAAACAATCATATATTCAAAAGTAGTCACATGTAACTCTTTTATAGATCAATGTGACCTAATGTTATGTATCCGTCTGTCTTTTATAACCAATCGAAATATTTCATTAATGTTTTTATGTAAATAGGTAGATATTTTTTTGGAATTAAGTAGTTATTGTCACTGTATAGAAATTCTTTTGTTCAAATTTCGTATTGTATAATAATTAACATCAATTAAACGTTTTAAAAATTTATTTAAAAATAATAATCAATTATAATTTATATGAATATTTTATTATGATACATGGTTAGTTACTAATAGACAATATCACAATTCGAGGGTTGATGAAAATTTTTTTTCATTGAAGTCTTTTGTTCTTTGTTTAGATAAATCTTTATTTCTTTGATGAGCAGACTTCATGGGTCGTTCTACCGATAAATCTCTCGTTCGTCCCGTTGTTTGCTTTGCTTCCAGTAATTTTTCCCACATATTTTTATATTTTGTATTTATATCTTGAGCATTATAAGCTCGATCAGATTCACTACGTAATAAATTGTTTTGATCTTCAATATTTGTCTTATCATTATTAAATTGCTTTGGTGGTTCACTTTTTTGCGTAGAAAGTGTATACGTAGAATGATATTGTTTTTTCAAATGAACTCGATCTTTATTATGATGTGATTGAGTTTTAATGTGTTGAATATATATAACTTGTTTCAATAATTTAAAACATTCACTATCTGGCTTTGCGAAACTAATAGCTTGATAACCTTTATAATCAATTTTATTTATATCAGCATGAGCATTTATAAGTACATAGCATGTATTAATCATATCTAATCCTGCGGCTAACATTAATGGCGTACGTCGAATACTATTTTCTGCATTGATATCGCAACCATTATTAATTAATTTTTCTAACAAAGACATTTGTTCATCATTAGCTTTATGATGACAAAAGCAATGTAATAAAGTATTTTGTCCAGAAGATACAACGGAACGACATGATGCACCTGCATTTTCTAATAAATCAAACATTGCTACATCACCATTTGTGATTGAAAAATGTATACTAAATAAAATAGAAATCAGTTTTTGAAGACGAATTTTAAAAAAATTCTTACGGTCGATTTTCGAATATTTTTTCTATATAATTTACATTAGCTTTTTTTTGAACAAATAATTTTGCCAATGGTAAACTTCTTGTTCTTACAGCTGTCATTAAAGGTGTTTCCATAATGACATACCCTTTGCCATTTTCATCTAAACAAGTATATGGTGATGGTTTATCTACGTCAGCTCCATGATCTAATAAAATGACAGCCATTTCAAGAGCCAATTTTGCTACTTGCAGTTGATCCTTTTCATAAACTGTTGCGGCTATGAAACCAAGTGGTGTTTGAAAAGTAACAAAATTCGGTTGATCAGGAGAAGCTCCTTCTTCAAGTAATAAACGAACAGTTACTGGTGATGCATGTTTCATTGCTAATAAAAGTGCTGTATTTCCTTTATTATCTAATTCTTTATGAATATAATCACGTTTTACATCCAAAATACGACAAATTTTATTGGTATTATCTGATAATATAGCAGCATGTAATGCCGATAAATTTGTTTTAAACAAGTATGAAAAAAATATTTTCGACATGGTAGTAATAATATCTAAAAAATCAATCGAAGTAATTATTCAAACTGCTTGGTGAAAAAATGTGCATCGTGTTGGACAGGTAAGTCGACTATTTATTTTTTATTTTATGCATGCGCAAATAAACAACAATAGAACAAAGGTTATTTGACGATAACCATTGGAGGTAACAACAATCAAGCAATCATAATATTTTCACTTTGAAAATATATATGTATGCATATGTAGTGACTAAGGCAAAAGATATTTTGTTGGCGTAGAAAGTAAATAAAAGTTTGAAACATAATTATATTGATTATAGCTTTCAGAAAATACAGTGAATGACGTTTTTTTATTCTTATTGTGTATTTACATTGCTCTGCGTCATAATCAATGATTTACGTTCGATTTTTATGATTGATAACAAAAGATCAGGTTAAAACGATAGATAATGACCTTAATAAAAGATAAAAGTGATTCAGTTTACATTGAATTGATTGATCTAGTTCGAATGTTGAAAAATTCATCAAATCTAGCACTTACCATGCATGCATTAATTCCTAGTCGATGTAATATATGAATCATCATTTCCGAAAAAAGAAACATTCTCTTATATAAAACTTACTTTATATACGCATACAATAAATTCATAAAGACATATCGTTTTTTTTTTCATGAGGTTTTTTCAATAATATTTTTTCTAGAGATATATGCTAAGGTAGTTTACCCATTTATACTATTTTATATGATGATAGTGATTTTTACTTCGCTATTTTCACGCATGAAGTAAATGATTTCTAAACGGTATTGCATCAAAACAGAGTGACATATTTTTATTTTCTCGAATCGAAAAAAAAACGTCTGTATTTGATGAGAAAAAACAAAAAACTTGTATCATTTTTTTGTATTTCAAAAACGTAAATCGATCGTATTAACTTGTAAAATTTATATATTAATCCAAACAAAAATTGTGTCTAGAGTGTGTTCACATATCAAATTTATTTCTTCTTTTCTCTATCTTCACTCTTTAAACTTTTCATGATAGTTGACATATTCATAGCACAATTTGACGTACTCTTTAGTATTATTTGAGCAAAGACAATGGGATAGAGAGCCAAGGAGTACGAGCTTTTCCTACATAAAACAATTGCCTGAAGAGTGTACATATATTTAGGCAAAATCTAAAAGGTGGCGAACGATTATTTTTTGGAAGGTCAGTGTATTAATAAACGAACGCTATTTTCGTCTGACAACTTCACATGTAAAAAAAAATTATTAAAATTATCAAAAATTGATTTTTGATCGATTATTATCAAAAATACCAAAAATTTCATCCATTATTCTGATTATTTTTGACTAAAACCGATTAAAAATCGTGTAAAAAATCATTTTTATTCAATTTCATGTAATGCAAAGCGATAGAATTTTAATCTAGTTTTGTATGTCTTACATTTATTATAATCGATTTTTCGCATCACTTATTTTTACATGAATTTGAGGACATTCGACGGGAACCATTCGACCTCTTTTTGAACAAAAAGTTACATGGAAATTTTAATTTTTGACTTTTCCATATGTACGCAAAATCGACTCGGAAATGCAGTAAAACGATCATCACTGTGTGCTAAAGGCCCGATACAGATGAACTTTTTAAGGTGTTTGCTAGTTTTGCCAAGATGTTATTGGGAATTCCATATGAACTCAAACGATGAGTATCAGTACGAGTGATTCCATCGTCAGATACACGAATTACGATCTCGAAACATGCTTCAATAATGATATTAATCCTTTTAGAATCTTATTAAAAGAACGATACCTATATTTTGAATCAGTATAAAACACTTTATCCCACATATGCGGAAGAAAATATATACTAAACTATTTGCTCAAGTTCTTTTCAGAAAACCAATTTTTTCATCCTAGAAAGACGCAGCAAAATTTCCTCTCTCAAGAAAAATGTGGTTTTCAAAAAAGAAAAGAAACAAATTTTAACAGACTTTCAGAAGAGATTTCGGTTCTACTATCTTGTTTTCCGAGAAATTTTTTGTATTTTTGTTTTGGAAAGCATCAACAATCAAGAAACATTCTTGTATAATTTACACACGACAGATGATGGTACTTTGTGTCATCTGTTGTGTGTGTTTTTGTTCTGGATTTGAACGAAAAAATTCACGTCTAAATTTATTTGCCGTTTTTCTCACCACATGGTTTTCAATCAAAGAGAAATTCGTTTCACTCCATTCAAGATACAATCAATATTGTTTTTGTTGTAAAAGTTTAAATAAGAGTAAAATTTTTTTCAATCATATATTGTTATGGTTGATTTCTATATTGAAAAAAAGCTAGATTTAGTGCCGTAAAGTGACATTTTTTCGCTTATTTTAACATTCTATGTTCTAAAATGATGATGAAAAACAAATGGAAGTAAATTTCAAAAATTCTGTTCGGATAAAAACTGCACATACGTTTTGATTTTTATTTGAAATCTCCTCAATCCCCGTAACGCTTGCAATGACGAAGTTATTAAGAATCTTCTCAAAGTCATGCAAGGACTATAAATAAGTCGAAAGTCTGCTCTAGTACGACATATCGGGTCGAAATTTTTACCTGAAGTGTTTCTCATTAGGACCACTCATGTCTGAAACTTTAGTTCAAATGGACCATTCTAAGTGTAAAATCTATTGTTAAAATGAGGCGGAGGGATTAACTTAAATGTGAAATTGAATTTTTGACAACAAATGTAATTCTTAATTGACATTATCACCAATGCATTATCCTTGATCAAGTCTATTCATTAAGCATATTATTCATAAAAGTATTCTTATAAATCTTAGATGATTGTATAAATGATTGAATATTAAATCACCATCTATGATACAAATTATTCAATGTATAGATAATTGTAATAATAGCAAGTAACTAAATGAAGTTTTTTCGGAGAATGAGTACATATCAAATCTCTCTATGGGATGGAATGGAACGAACAAAAATTATCCCATGGAGCAGCCTATTCCATTCTGTCCTATCTCAGATAACTTACCTTTCGTCAAATCCATTGTACAAAATGACTAATTACTGATATACTTATCATTTCGACAAACGCTATAATATATTACATTTTTTCAAATTGCATTTCTTAATTTCATCTCAATGAAGTTCATGATTCGTTTCTTTACTTTCACAATGAAAAATACATAGTGTTCACTCTATGAATACAAAATATTAAAAGTAGAGAAAAACCACCACATACAGAATCTGAAACAGTATTTTTCTTCTCCTCTCCTTTCTAGCTCATTCATTGATTATTCAGTACTGAAATCCTGACACAATTTTCATCATTACATGACACACATTCTTATATATCAGTATTAATACAGTAATGGATCTGTTCTTTTTTGTACAAAAGTTCAAATTCAGTCAGCAAGATAGTATTAGAGAAATAGTTAGTCAGTAGTTTTCTTAAAAGATGCAGTGTTATTTATCATGATGGAAAACCTCTTTAACCGCGACAATTCACTATTTTACTTTTACGCTTCTACATGTATCTTCGATTCAAGATAATACTATAATACTTCGCTAGTGATAAGTACGGCATTAGTTCAATTTAAAATTAGATAAAACCTATACTATTTCCTTTTGGTATTATTTAAATATAATTACTGTATCAGTAATGTAATAAAGATGAAAGTATTACTTACTTCCGACAATACTGGATCAGTACTGTAAAGTCAGTATGTGGTCTAGGATCGGTTTGACTGAATGAAAACATTTCTATAGAAAAAGAGCTTGTAGTTTAAAAAAAAAATCTTTTTATACAAAATGGCTGTTTCATGCAATGGAATGACGCTCAAAGTGATCTGTTCCACCTATGGTGATACCTGATGCATGTTATATATGTTTGATTAGTACATCGTGCTCGATTAATCGATAGTAAAGTAGCAAACCGTTTACTTATATAAACAAATCAATCCAATAACTAAGAAAAAAATTGAATGCGAGCATTTTTCAGCATTCAATTGGCATTATCATTTCTCAATAAAGTGTAAGGATTAGGTCCCGTTTCGTCGAAAGCTTAATTGATTTTTCTGTTTCGTCGAAAATGTATTTTTCTTCCATTCCCGTTTCGTCGAAAAAAAAATTCTGATTAATCAATGAAGAATAGATTATATCATTTGATGAGATTTTTTCGTCCTACTAATTACTCGTAGACAAGTTTATCAAAAAAAAATTTATTATAGATAAGATTTAGATACATAAATAAGAAATTATTAAGAGAAATACATTTTCGACGAAACAGAAAAATCAATTAAGCTTTCGNGTGGCAAAACCAGGTTATGAAAGTCAAATTCAATATGTTAAAATTCATAATAAAGAACATCTTCATCGTCAATAATTCCTTTAATACCCAAATGAGTCTAAAATAACAATATTTTCAAGAAAAGTACAATTTTAGTTTTTAATCTTTACCTGCCACATAAAACTAATAATTGCATTTTTATTTTCATTCCAAAGATGTGGTAAATCTTTACCAGGTGGAAATTTACGACAGCCAAGTTCTAATGTTAATTCAAAACAATTACTAGCTAAATAATTAAAATCTTGCATTCCACCACATACTGGATACCTAGACAGAATTAATATTGACAAATAAATAAACATTAAATTAAATAATTTACCAAGCTGCACCATTCGTAATTCCTTCTGGAAAGACATCAGTACCACATGGTTTTTTTGGTGATTCCATATTTTCATTGGCATGCGAATAAGACTCTGCTAATTGTCTAAAATATTTCAACGAATAGAAGAAAAAAACTGAGCAAAAAAAAAGACGATTTACTGGAATAATTGATCATCAGGTGATGGTGAATACATTCGAAGATGATTTGCTGAATCATCATATGGATAATTAGCAACAATGTCACCATTATGTAGATTAGCTGATAATACAAATGGATTTTCCATGATCCAAAAAGCAACTGTTACTGTTTCAACTTGATACTAAAACGAAATTGAATATAAAAGAA